AAGGAAGAAAATACTGTTCTCCACAATGTAGCAGAAGACAGGGGCTTTCTTAAGAATGGCCTGCAAATTATGACCACACACCCTGATGGAAGCACTGTGTAGCTTGGGGGCTGAAAGTGAGCGGGGAGAAGGTGAATTTGGCTCTTGGACAACCTCTGGTCCCTTTTTGCTTGGAGCCAAATAAAAAAGAGCTAAATTCAAACCATGAGCAAACAGATTCCAGGGGCTGAGTTTAGCTCCCTCTTTGTGCAAAGCTGGATGTGGGGACTTAGATGGTGCTTTACCATCCTCATTGTCTCACTCGCAGCTGCAAGAGCCAGTTCACGATGCATTTCTTGCACAGCCTGCCAGCATGCTGCTTTCGTCCTCCACTGAGCTAAGAACCCGCTCCCCACGTTTCCGCCCTCCCCTGTGCTGACATGAACTGCTGAGCCTTGTTTCGTGCTTGGCCAGATCACCTTAGGCATTTAAACTCTTACATGTCTCTTATGTTCGGTCCCACGCTACATCCCCTTGAGTTTCCCAGCTTGCCCTGCCCACTGATGTCTCCCTGGAGACTGGAACTAGCTTTCAGGGACATTTCCACTCCAATCCAGATTGCAATTGCTGCCTGCGTTTGGGCAGGTCTTTGCATCTGTTTCCTCTGCTGTAAAATGGGAATAACAGACTCCCATGCTTTGAAGGAGAATGGGAGGTGGTGATCCTAGTGAAAGCTCCAAACATAAAGCAGTAAGTTAAATAAGCCAGAATATTGCCACTCTTTCATAAAATCTTTTTGCTTTTCTAAAGACAAATTGGGGCTTAAATGACCTTCCTTAGCAACTGATGCTATGCCCAGCTTGGGAAAACAGACCTGAACTCTATTTGGTACGCTCAGGGCTGTTAAATCCCTGTGAGTGTCTCTCCCAGTAAGAAAAAGACACAGCACTGGGAGGGAAGTATGAGTCTAAGCACAAGCTGGGTTCACAGAGGAAGGCCAGTGGAGATGGGAACAGGGAAAGCCTCAGTGCAGGGACAAACCAGGTCCTCTGCTCCTCCACAGCTCAGGAGCCATCAGCAGTGATGCAGGCTCCAACACTCAGGATACAGAGATTTAAGGGGCTTGGTACAGAAAGATCATTTTGGTCAGTGGAAACACAAGTAAATATTTCTGCTGATACTCTCTCTGTGGACACCATGTTCATGTGAGGCTTCTTGAATTTACCTTATGCTACTTCTGAGGAAGTCCAAGGTAAAAAAACAACAACAAACCAACAACCCCCCCCAAACTGCACATTCTGGATCAGAAACTGAAATGGTCTTTGATCAAAACAACATGTTTTTGAAATCTGGACCAGAGTTGAATTCCAGCTCCTCAATGTTTTCAGCTTACTACAGCTAAAACTTTGCTTCAGCCTCGTCTCTAATGGGATATTTTTATGTCTGCACATCAGTATTTCTTGATCTGAGACCAAGATACACAGGTCTACACATATCTTGAACCTGTCCTGCCTTGGGTCAGCAATTCCCTCTCTTGTATGGGTATCTAAGGCAGCTTCTAAGAGCAAGTACTTCCTTTTCCCCTCCCTGGATCAGAGCATTTCCATTGCTGCCTGCAGCAGCAGTGAGCTCCTGGGGCAGCTCTGGCAGCTGCCTGTACCAAAACCTGCTGTCAGGAATATGGGAACATGGATAGGGAAAGGACTCAGATCACCTGGTAAGTGTCCAGTCCAGGAGGAGCTGCAGATCTTCTTCTGTATCTCCCTGTGCACTGCAGGCCACAAAGCACCTTGCTGCCCTTCCTGAGATTAAACAAACAAGACAATCATAAAGGTCTGGTAGTAGGAGAGCAAGAAGTGTGCCAGGAGTGCCCAAACCACAATGGAAACAAGTTGTGTCTCTTACAGAGAAATAAACAGATCCCAGCAAACCTTGCCTTGGAAAAAAACCCTTGTCTGTCCACAGACATGGGATCAGACTGACAGCGAGCCTGCCAGTGGTACAGTAACACCTTCAAGGAGTTTTTAAAGCTGTTTCCCATGCCATTCAGCAGCTGCAGTGCCAGAGGCAGCAGCACCAGATGTCCAGCCACAGCACAGCCCAGGAGCCTTTGCCTCACCCGGTTCTGGCTCTCTGTTCTTCTTCCAGAAATGCATCTTCCTCTAAAGACTGTATCTGGGGACCTTGCCTGGTCAGCGATGGGTCTTTCAGGTGTGTTCATGGCTGGGGGCACTTGCATCCACCTACAAGGACCACAGGTACCAGTGGCAGAGCCTTTTGTTCAGCTGCGGATAGAAACCAGCACCTCATCCTTCCAGCAACCATTGGACACGATGGGCTCATTTCAAGCACCAGCTCTGCTTGAACACATCACACTGGGGGGCAGTTTGAAGCCTTCTGTTTGCAGCAGCAAACCCAAGCACGTGGAGAGGCTGAGGCATTATTTTATTAGCTGGCCCCACAACTACTTTTATGTGGGCTGAGGCTGCAAAACCAAAAACATACACAAAAGCATTTGGAATTACTTCATAAAATACTGAATCACAATATTAACCGACTGACCTTTGCTCTATGCAGACCTGCTAATTTTAGCAATTACAGCCAACAACTTGAACATATCAAGTGGGCAACTGTTTAACAATAATGACATCTGCTTGGAAAATCAAATTATGTCTAAACATCTTTAAATCCCCACCAGGGAATACCTGCTTTCTTTTTGCAACTGTTAGTCTCTGTCTAATAGGATTTTAAGCTCGCAGCCTGCTGCACACTGTGGTGGCAGTGGCCCCTCGTCCTGGAGTGGGAACAGCAGCACTGCTGTCCCACTAAGCAGGGAGTGAGAATCTCTCCTTAGACAGTGATGGAAGCGGTTTGGGCTTAGACAACTTAATCTGATAGATGGGTGCATTAGCTGTATCTCTTCACTCCCCATCCCCTTTGCAGCCCCCCAAGGTTACATGTGCTGGACACAGCCAGGGCTGATCTCTGTGGGCTGTTTCTCAGGAAGGACCATGCTACCAAAGGTGGACTTTGCAGCCTTCTGTGGGGCAACTGACATGAGATTTCCTCCTGCAATGTCCTCAGACACAAACTAGTTTTGTTTTCTGGGTTAACCTCCATTTCTTTCCTCTCTTTTCTCCCTTCTTTCCTCCCCTACCCCAGCTACTTAAATCCCCCCCTGCTGCTCCCTGCTTTGTGAGTGAAACTCCAGCACTATCTGTTCCACTCTATAATGAGAACCCCTAAAAGACAACAGCTATGCAGTGCCTTTTGCAGCCATATTTCAGGCCTGCAGTTTTTTCTTGCCAAGAAAAGTGACGTTAGAAACAAATGGGACCAGTGAGGAAGAGTGAGCACAACAAGACCACCCAACTCTGCAATAAAGGACCCCAGTGCAGACCAGGATCCTCTACTGTAGAATCAAGGGTCTTTATCCAAGCCCCCAGTTAGGTTGCTGCAACCCCCTGAGTTCCTCTGATCTGGCAGCAGCCTCAGCTCCGTGGTCCCACTCCTGCACCCACAGATCACTCAGCACCCTGGGCTATGAGGCTATTGTAAGATGCTTGAATTGAGATACAAGAACAGAATATTTCCATCCCTTCTCCTCCCTCTCTCTGTCTCCCTGGCCTGCCTGGCTCTTTTCTGATGGAGCGTGCAGCAAAATCACAATCACATGTTTGTAGCAGTAGGAGGCCATTGGCATGGAAGAGGCTGTGATGTCACTACAAACATTTCCACCCTATCCCATTTCTCCAGAACAGTCTCCGTTTTTATGACCCCATCCTGAGATCTGCAGGAAATCAAATTGTCCTGGTGCTATTTTGAGCGCTGGTGTCATGGCATCAATCTATAACGATGTGGTGTCAAGCTGGAGAGGCTCGAGCGCTGTGCCGCGGTGTCACAGCCGGTTTGCTCCGAGCAGCTCTTGGGGCTGGATCACAGCCCTGTGGGTGCTCGGGACACATTCGCTTTGCCAGCGGGATGAGCTGTGAGGGCAGCCCACGGGGCACGTCTGGATTTCATCGCTCTGCAGCTCCCACCCCCTGTTGGAGGTTACCAGCTCCATGGTACCAGAGGGCAAACACACAGACAAGCCATGTGTGGCTCCCACAACAAGGCATGCACACAAGTGCCCGGGGGTTGCATGCAAGGGAAGACATGAGCATGGTTGCAAGGCACTTACGCAGGGCAAGGGGAGATGCAAGCAAGGGAGGGAGAGATCTGGGGACAGACAGACACTGGCAAGGTGCCCAGGGTAAGAAACCAAGTGGCAATCTGTCCAAAACAGGGAGAAGCAGCATCAAGCAGATGCAAGTTCTTGTCTAAACTAGGATTACCATCTACACAGAATGAACCATGGGTTAGATCCCCTGACCAGAGTTTCAAATAGGGGTTTAGATCCCACTGTGCTCATGAAATGCTTCTCTGATGCTTTCTACCAACACGTGGAACCCCT